AAAAAAAAAATCATTTTCTCACAAAATGACTTCTCAAAAAATCAAAATCAAAATCAAATTCAAATTCAAATAATGGCTTAATAAACCTAAGGTTTGTTTGATTATTGACAATTGGACATCAATATAAAATACCAGACAGTTCATTTATTTTATTATGATTGAAGACTTATAAACTAATGGTAAGTTTCTTTAATTTTATTATCTTTAGAGAATTAAAAAATCACGCGATACTAAAAAACAATATTTTGCAACGTGAAAAGAAATATTCATTAATTGCATGTTACTAAAAAGTGTCTATCGCAACTATCAGTAAGTACATGTCGTCTTAGTTAACATAATTGAGATTTGACAACAATATTTTAACGTAATGTCTACTTTTGCAACGTTCAATTGATTATTGGAAAAACGTAATGAATGTTGCAACTGTTAATAAGTATATGTTGTCGTTGGTAAACATAATTGAGATATGACAACAAAATTTTAATAAATGTTACTAATTTCTTATTTTTTGCAAAAACTTACTTCAAAGGTTGCTTCTTCAATTTGATCTGATCTTATTTAAGATGTTATGTTAGAAAGTCAAAATGAAAGACAAATGTCTCAAAACATATATTTTTCTTTAATTAATTGGCTCTAATATACATAACTCCAATGAAAAAAATGATTCAATACAATAGTGTTGGCAGGTGTCGAAGGATAAAAATAAATAAATTTTAGTGATCAATGATCAATGACTTGTATCTCCCGGGCCGTAAAGGTAAATATCTCGACTGTGTTTTGGTTGCAATGGCCTTGCATTTTCTTCTGCATACTGTGAAAAATGAAAATAATAGCAAAAAAATAATTATATTAATACGATAATTTTAAATAACGATGTTTTTATCGAATAATATCTGATTAATGCGATAATTTTAAATAACTTACGTCTTGGACGGCTTCTCTAAGCAACTTAAGTTGATCTTTTGAAACAGTCTTCACCTAAAAGTAGATCAGAATTAGAAATAATTAATTTATTAATTACAGACATTAATTTGTCAAAAAAAAATTAAAATATTTAAGGTTATACCTTAGTGTTTATGGTCCAGATAACACCTTCAGTACAAGGAGGAACTGTGAGTGATCCCATGTATCTGTAATACCTTTTACTGTTCATTTTAATATCTTTTGGATTAATTATTCCCAGATTTCTGCCTTCATCCTTCTGATCAACCATTGATGATATATTTGTCATTAACTGCAATGGGAGAAATATGTCAATAATTGGACCGGGTGCAAAAAAACAAACTCATGTAGACGACTTCCTCTCAAGAATAAGATTTAGCCCCCATTTGGAATAAGTATTATAATGTTCGGAATAATGTTTTTTTAGAATGGATGGTTGAAAAAGAAGGAAAAATTTTCGATTTACGTGTAATATTATTTTATTGGAGAATATGTGGTTGAAAATAAGAGAAAAAAATGTATTATAATTTTAATGAAGGCCAAACGGAGGCTTAGTTTATTGTTATTTCTAAAAGCCACGAGGAGTTTGTACGAAGTAAATACAAAGAAATTATTATCATGAATTTTATCAAATTTTTTACCTTGGAGAGAAATTTATCAGGTTTGCCAATCTTGTAGAAGACACCAGTAACGGTTATCCGGTTCTTAACATTTAGGCCCGAGGTTTGGTGTACCAAGTGCAGTTCCATAGCGTACCTGTTAAAGAAATTTGTAGCATTTTGAGCGTCGATTCTCGGCAATACACTGGAAAAAAAAACATACAAACACATAGAGTGAAGTGCCAAATGCTAATACCTTCTACCATTAATAGTGTGCTCAGAAGGAGAGTGCCAATGAGCTTGTCGAAGTGGGTACTCCGTCTTGTTGATCAATATTGATCCTGCATCACCGTTCCAATGAAGCTGCGTGTCGAGGAATTTCTATAGTTAATTCTTGAACGACTATGTCTTCAACACGTTTGTAACATACAGACTGAATTAAATTTTTGTTAAGAACTTGACACGGGAAAAATTTAATTTAATTTAATTTTTTTTTGCTAAATTTGTATTTAAACTGTAATGATGAATCATTATGACAATTGACAGCATGTTTTTTTTTTATTAAAAAAGAGAGAGATTAGACTAATTTGTTTAAATTATGTCTTGAGCCAGCTATCAATTAATCCTGATAAGCTCCATAATGGCTAAAGATGGAATTGAATTATAAAATACTGGAAAATATAAAGAACATAATTATTGGTATAACACACTGATGAAGCCAACTAATCAAATCTTGTTTTGTGTTGATATAGAGAGACAAAATAAATAATGGACATCTATGGCGGAGCGGGTTTTAATATTAAAAAGTTATACGGGGAATAATGTTGCCTTTTTTCTTTTTTCATTTTTGGCCAACTTTCAATGATAAAATAGAATAATGTTTGGGCTACATAATTTTTTTACAGGGGTTCTTCAGACAACACACATGATGGGGCCCGTACATTTTTTTTAATACATGTCAGGCCCGCCCCACTGTAAAGGGCATGTAAGGTCTCTGTGAAACTATCCCCTGTACATGGGGAATTATTCGATAAAATATCACTCCCGCAAAATCTCTAATAGTGTTTCCTTGTACGCCAAGCAAGGCTCAAAAACTATTTTTGGTTAGAAGTGCTTTTAATGAAACTGGTTTAAGGTATGTGAAAACTCTTATAAAAAAATAGAAGCAAAAGTAAAAGTGTGCCAAATGAGCTCTATGGTTTAAGAGCAATGCTATGTGTACAAGGAAAAGTACCCACATAAGTTGGACAAAGTACACACAAACAGGTGAGCCCCGATTTTTTTGACAATATTTAATTCACATGGAGCCTGCTTTCCATATGAGTGGAATTCAAATTACTGTACAAATTCTATTTTCTGTTTTTATGTAACTTCAGCTTTTTTCATGGAGTAATGTATTCTTACCGAAATATCATGACCTCTATTCCTGACCGTGGCATTGACAGGCTTATAATTCCTCTTTTCTGGTTTAGAGATAACTCCAACTCTTTCATTCGACATATCAATGGGAGACTGCAATTTTCCATCCTTGCATGCGGCCCATTCTTTCCTCAACTCTCCCCATTTTCTCGGACCCTTTTCGCTTTCCTTTGCGTAATCAAATTCTCTCTCATCCTCTGCACACAAAACATAAATCCCAGTTCAGATTCAAGAAATTAACACACACACACACACACACAAACATTGTTCATGAAATATTTCTTTCTTGCATTACCAACTTCTTGAGCATTTACTGATTTTGCACCAAACAAAAAAAGCGAGGCAAGAATTGAAGCTAGAATACAGGTGGATGTCTTCATGGTTTCTTTTCTATACTTTGGAAGAAACGACTGAAAATTCTTGATTTAACCTTTGTATTATGGGTTTATATAGAAATAATTGCAGGTATAAATCATTGGGTTAGGTTTAATGACCTGCTGGTTTCGGATTTTTCGTGCAACTTTCTTGATTTCATGTGTGTGAACGGGAGAATGCTTTATAGACACCAATTAGAGCACGAAATGAGTAGATTTTGGGCAACACGTTTTAGTTTTGTAATATCGGTGGGCTTAGTTATATATATATTACCTACCTTTATGACTTCTTTCAAGATATTCAAAGTTTCGCAAATAACCTTGTGTATTACATACATCATGAACTTCAACGCATTCTTGGTTCTAGAGTTTAACTTCAACACATTCTTGGTCTAGAGTTTTTCTCAAAATCTAAAGGAAGTTCTTAATAGGGTTTACAATAATTACAATGTACAAAAGCCATATTTTAGTTTCTGAAAGACATAGAGGCCGTAACTTGATTTAGAATTATCTATTATAGGAAATTAAAAATCCTCAAAAGATGTTCTAGAAGAGTATAGTGCGTGGACAGTGTGTATTATCATTTCAAAGAAGAGGGGAAGGGGGAACTGCTTCCGCACCTGGAAAAGTAGAGACCTCTGTTTCGTCTCTGGGTCAAATTGCTTTGTCACACGGTATCCAGGTCTACCAATTTTAACTGCTAGCACAACAGGAAGATGTTTATCATGTAGAATAAGAATTATAGAACCAGCACCTTCACCTTACTATTAGACAGCTTCTCATGCAACCCAAGTTAAATTTTCATTCCTTTTGTTTACTTTTGCTTTCTTAAAAAATAAATTCAATTAAAATTAGAAAACCATTCAAAGATAACACATTTTGGAAATTGAAAAAAGGTAGGCTGCAAGGTAAGTGCCCTGAGATTCATTTCCTTTATGCGTTTTAAAAAAGGCGCAGTAGAAATCATGAGCGAACAACAGAACCCAACATCAGTATATTGAATTCAACCATTTCTATACAGCTAAAAAAACTCGTTCTTATTACATTAAGACCATATAGTTGTCTACAAAATCATGGTTTCTAAAAACCCCCAACCTCAGAATGAAATTCAATAATAAAAAAATTCATAACAATTTATTGACGAAGATTAATTGTTACCGGATTTTTTAAGTGAGATTTTGCGCTTATGAGTCTGTGGCTGAGCCGGTGCCTCCTTGGCTTCACGAGCCGCTCGCTTGGCCAAGTTTGTCCGATGCCGCTTCCCCTGTGTGCGCTCCAAGTAATACAAAAACAAGTTTCAAGTTTCAAATTTCACAATTTTTTAATTTTTTATTTATGAATTAATGAATTAATAAATCAATTTATTATTAAATATTTAATTCTATTATAATATAATTATCTCACCCCACCTCCATCACCCCTATCGCTCCGATGACTATTCCAGCTACCGTTCCGATTACAACTCATCTCTGACGACCGTTCCGACTACTGCTCTGATTCCGGCGAAAATTTTTAGGTCACAATTCAAAATTTTCATATGCCACAATTGTTTATTGGTCACAACTTAAAAATTTAAAAGTCACAATTTGTTTATCGGTCACAAATCATAAAATTTATAAGTCACAATACTTATTTAGCTCACAATTTATCAAATTATTGGTCACAATTTAATAATTTTTAAATCACACATCATGTATTGATCACATTTTATCTAATTCATTGGNTCATGTATTGGTCACATTTTATCTAATTCATTGGTCACATATCGTTTATTGGTCGCCAACCAACCAAATTAGTGGTTACAAACCACCAAAATCATTTGTGACCACCACTTCGCCACCGCCACCACCAGCCGCACACTCAACATCTCAAAACCAACACCACACCCTCCCCAACACCACTATCACCACCCCAAGACCCCCATCGCCACATGTACAGCCAAAACAAACACACAAATCACACAACCACCGCCGCCACCACTAACTTCAGATCCACACTTCGCAACGCCCAATCCAACGCCAACACCATCCAAACACGGAACCACGACCGCCGCTACCACTCCAACGACGATAATAACCACGATCTCAACACCAAAACATGGAACAACAACAAAATTGCCGCCTGATCATCCAAAACCACCGCCTAATCCGCCATAGCCAACAACAAAACATCACCCATATACCCATCCTTTGACTGAAAACCACCACAGCAACCAACCCATCCAATAAATCAAACTCGAAACTAAAAAAAAAAAAGATCCACAGAGGCCGAAAATGGTGGAAGACGAAAAAACAGATCCACGGATCCACATCAGCAAAAAAAAACAGATCACAGATCCACAACGTTGTTTTGTAGTGGTGATGGCGGGGGAGTAAGTGGCCGTGTGCTGGTGAAGATGAGAAATAAGGTATGGCGGTGGGGCATAGGCAATTAGCGGCGGCTTTTGATCAGAGAGAGTGGAGGGGAGATGGGTTTGATTTTAGGGAGATATGATAGGGATGATGGGCTCTCGTCGGTGAGGAGATGTGCCGTTGGGCGACGGTTGGGCGGAACAGAGACGGGGATGAAAGAATGGGACGGAGGGGAAAGAATTTCAGGGTTGATTTGAATTATTTTAATTGGGATGAAAATTATATAATTAATATTAAATTAAATATGAAAAATCTGATTTTTGAAAAGTTAAACTTGATATGTGATTTGTGAAAATGGAAATCTAAAACCATGGTTGGGTATAATTTCCTCTTTTCTAAGTTCGACAATGGGCAGTTCCTTATCTAGGTTGGGTTTTTTAGACCCCATCCAATTGGGTTGGGCTCTTGGAAAGAATGACGAAGTGGTAATTACATAAAATCAAGTATTAAGTTTGACCTTTTTAAAAATCAGGTTTTGGCTTTATTTAATCAAAAATCAGGTTTAATTTTACAATTAATATTAATAATAATATTTTAAATTAAATTAATCTATATACCCACCCTACTACCTACCCCACCAAATTTATTTTAACTATAAAATCCAATCCATTCCCTAACCTATTTCATTTCTATCCCTTCTCTCACCGGCGCTGCCACCGCCTGCTGCCTCTTCCCCTCCCTCACTCCCTCCTCCGCTACTGCGCTGATAGCAGCGACGCTGCGTCACAAGCGCCACTGCTGTGACCAATTAATTTGATAAGTTGTGACCGAAAATTAAATTTTTAACTATATCTGTAACCTAGGAATCGGAGCAGTTACCGAAATTAAGCGGCGGTCAAGGTCACCGAAAAATAGTCGCTGAAATTAAGCGCCATCGGAGAATTGTCGAAGGTCGCCGGAGCTATAGAGGAGGTGGAGGTGGAGGTGGAGGTGGGGTGGAGTGGGTCGGTTGGATGGGGTTGGTCAATTATAAAAATATTATATTACAGTTAGAGATTAATTGCAAAATATAATTAATTAATTCATGAAAAACCCTTAGTTTTGTAAATTTAAACTTTGGGGTCTAATTTTTGATTTCGTGAAAGATAATCCCTGACCTATGAATTTTTCCCAATGATGAAAGCCTATGTTTCCGCCCCATTTTCTCGAAATTTATTTTTAAAAAAAATTATTTTTAATCACATATTCTTTTATAAAATAATTTTACATGTACATATTCTCCAAAAAATCACTATTCCAAAACACTTCCCCCAACATGGGGTCACACAGGGCTAAGTATAGATTTTTGGAAACGTATTTTATGAAAGAGGAGATTACATCCATTACTATGCTTTAACTTATTATTTTTAAAATTATTCTTTCAAAATTTGGGATATACTACGCCACCCACCTATCATTTTACATATTCTTTCGCAACTTTCAAAATTTTAAGTTAAAGCTGCCTGTCTCACACAAGCAACTACGAAATGTAGCTGCCTGCCTCACAGGCAGCTACATTTTGTAGTTCGGCCTGCGTGCA